TACTACACAGCTGAATCACAGCACAGCTGCTTCTAGCTTGTCTCAGCGTCTGGTTACTTGCTCATATTTTAAAGAGCAAAACATACAAATATGTAACTTTTTGTACTTGTTGTTATTAAACATTAAAGAAAAGAGGGGAATATAAGCTCTCAATAGGAACTGGCATTTTAAAAAATAAAAGCAAATTTCTATGAGTATTATATTTAGGTAACCAGGGATGAAGTGGCCACATTCACAAAAAATATGTAAAAGGATTCCAAAGAAACTTTGCAAAACAACATCTTATAATCCATCCCATTCATCCTCTGCCTAACTCCCTATTAAAACCAAGAAGTTGAACCCAGGAGTGCATAAGATTCTGAGGATGGCACTGGCATATTGAATTTAATAATAAAAAGTCTAAAAGGTATTTAAAACACAATTAATATATAGTAGAATTCATATAATGCATTTTAACAAGATAGAGCTTGACCATGCAAAGCCTTTTTGCAAGGAGGTTGTTAGTTATCTCATGGCAAAGAACCAGCAAAACTGAAGTTAATTTACACACATTCTTTCCAAAGATACAAATGATCCAATTTTGCTAACTTTTTCTGTGGCTATAAGGGGCTGTCAACAGTGTGCTATGTAGAAAATATTTTTGAACAGAATATATTTACTTAACCTGTCCCTGAAAGATAAGGTGATGTTTTCAACATGACTGAGAAAAAGAAATGCAAGAGGATCTTAAACATTTGAAAAGATGCTCAACTTTGTTTAAAATTAAAAAGAAAAACACAGCCAACTACATAGAATACCATTTCTCAAATATATGATTAGAAACAAAGCAAAAGCCTTTCGGCTCCCCTGTTGGGGAGGAAGTGGAGGGCTGATCTCTGCACTTCGCAGTTGACACTGCTGGTGGGCATGGAAAGCCCACCACTACTGGGAGGGGAATTTGGAAACAGTAAAAGAAACATTTTCCCTTTGGTGCAGTAACCCCTCTTCTAGCGAGCAGATCTCAGTAATACTCTGACAACAATATGAAAACATGGGTGCACACAAATCTATTAGTTGTAGCAATATTAATAGTAAAAAATGAAAACTGGCCGGGCATGGTGGCTCACGCCTGTAATCCCAGTACTTTTGGAGGCTGAGGCGGGTGGATCACCTGAGGTCAGGAGTTCGAGACCAGCCTGGCCAACATGGTGAAACCTCGTCTTCACTAAAGATACGAAAATTAGCCAGGCATAGTGGCGCATGCCTGTAATTCCAGCTACTGGGGTTGGGAGGATAGGGGGCTAAGGCAGGAGGATGGCTTGAATCTGGGAGACGGGAGGCTGCAGTGAACTGAGATCGTGCCACTGCCTGACAGCCTGGGAAACACAGTGAAACTCCATCTCAAATAAAATAAAATAAAATAAAATAAAATAAAAATAAAAAATAAAAAACTTAGTGTTCACTAATAAGCAAAAAGTAAGGTATACCTACATAAAGAAATCCAATGATGCTATATATTTTCCAATGGAAGCAAATATCTAGATCAGACTAGGAAATGATCTTTAAAATATATGCTGTAGAGTGAAAAAAGCAAGATGAAGAAAAATGTGCATAATCTACTTCTTACTTAAGAAGGTAACGCATCTATATCATTATAGTTCATCATCTATATCATCTATAGTTTACCTATTTTGAAAATAGGTGATTGTTTTTAATAAAGGTTTACCTTTGGGAGAGAAAAGATATATTGAAGAGAATACAGATAAAGGATATACTTCTTTGAATATAGCATGTTTTGTAGCTTTAACTTTGGAATAATAGAAATATTTTACATATTATAAAAGCAAAATAAATTTAAAAGCAATGAAAGGGCAGGCGTGGTGGCTTATGTCTGTAATCCCAGCACTTTGGGAAGCCAAGGTGGGTGGATCACCTGAGGTCAGGAGTTCGAGACCAGCCTGGCTAACATGGCGAAATCCTGTCTCTACTAAAAATTCAAAAATTAGCAGGGTATGGGGGCATGTACCTGTAGTCCCAGCTACTTGGGAGGCAGAAGCAGGAGAGTCGCTTGAACCCAGAAGGATGAGGTTGCAGCGAGCTAAGATCGTATCACTGCACTCCAGCTTGGGTGACAGAGCAAGACTTTATTTCAACAACAAAATTAAAAAAATAAAAGCAACAAGAAATATGCATTCAATTGATGACATAACTATACATTAACTTATATGAGTTTTATATCCCTATAAGGATACATCCTAATGACAAACTGTAAAAATCTTAACATTGTTTTCAGTAATCATACTTGGGTGATGTGTTGATACTGTAATACTGATACTATTGTGGATGCATTCCAAAGTTAGGCAAATGAGTAGTTTTGCTGGTATCACTCAGTAACAGAATTTTGCTAAAAGTGAAAGAAACAACAGTTGTAACATTGGTGACTTTTCCATGAAAATCTGATAACACTGGATTTGAACTGAAAATGTTAGTATAACTAATATTACAGTGTTTGCTTAAAAAAATGTCTCCTAGCTTGATCAACTAGGCCTAGAAACAGTAATCATACAGTGACAATGAGCATCCAAGTACCAAGACTTCTCAATACTATTTCCTACTAAAGGGAGCCAGAGCTCCCGAGAAAAATGGCTGATTACAGGTTGTTGGGCAAGAATTACAAGAAAGGTATGGAACATCTTGTAACACTACAAACCCTGACTGATGGGTGCAGGAAGGTTCACTGTAGTATTTTTTCTTACTTTTATGTGTTTGAAATTGTCTAAAATAAAAAGACACACTTTAAAAGAAAATGAGTTCAAAATGAACTGATAACTAAGACAGAGTATGAAGAAAAGACTTGAAAATATATGTTTAGAAATGTTTCCATTGTTTGTGGCTTCGTGAAGGAAGAAGGTTTACCAAAACAAAATTGTTGCATTAAAAGCACTGCAGTTTTCCAATCTGTAAATAATCACTTTGCTGGATTTTGAATGCTTTTGTTTAAAATAAAGGCACAATAACTTTCAAAAACAGGTTTTCCTTAGAATACATTAACATATATTATGTGAATCTTAATTTTTAAAATTATTGCTTTATCGGTAGATACGCTTAAAAATGAGAATCATAATTTACAAAGTCAGCAAAGCAACTAGTTTATTCCATTTGGATTTTTAAATCATTTCAAGGTATATTTTTTAGCTATGATTGACATTAAAACTAAGTCTTGAAATAAACTGAACTTAAAACTTCACCGTTGAGTCAAGGTATCTCATAGTTTCAAATTAAGTTTTCAAGAATTAATGAAACGTATTTAATCACATTGCAGTCATTTGCATATAGAGAGAGGTGGTAACTTTACTTCATTCCAGGTACATAAATTACCTCAAAGTAGATCAATGTAAATATGAGAGGTAAGCTATTGGAAGAAAATATCGAAGTGAATCGTCATGATCTCAGGTATGGCAATGGAGCATTTTATTTGACACCAAAAGCATTAGCAACAACAACAACAACAAAAACAGATAAATTGGATTTCATCAAAAGTAGAAACTTTTGTTCATCAAAGGACATTATGAACAAAATAAAGAGACAACCTACAGAGTGGGCGAAATACATGCATTTCATATATCTGATGAGGATCCAGTATCCAGAATATATAAAGAACTCTTAGAACTCAACAACAAAAGCATGAACAACTCAATTTAAAAATGAGCAGAGAAAGGACTGGAACAGACATTCCTATAAAGAAGATCCATGACTACAAGCATATGAGAAGATAATTAACATCACAGCCATTAAAGAAGTGAAAATCAAATCCAGAACAAGACACCACTTCACACTTACTAGGGTGACCAGTTAGAAACAATAACAAGTGATGGCAAGGAGGTCGAGAAATAGAAACGCCTGGACGTTGCTACACTGCTGGTGACAATATTAAATGGTACAGCATCTGCCGAACACAGTGGGAAGTTCTCCTAAAGGTGAAACTTAGAATTCTGCTTCTCGGTATATATCCAAGATAAATGAAAGCAAATGTCCACACAGACACTTATATATGAATGTTTATAGCGGCATTATTCATAATAACCAAAAAGATGGAGACAACACAAATGCCCATCAGCAAGTGAACGGATACACAAATTGTGGGGTATCCACACAATGGAATATTATTCAGCCATAAAGAGGAAAGAAATATTGATACGTGCTACACCTTGAATAAACCTCAAGTACATTATGCTCAGTGAAATAAGGCAGACATGAAAGGTCATCTATTGTATGATTTCTTTTATGGGAAATATCTAGAATAGGCAAATTCATAGAGAAGAAAGTGATTGGTGGTGGCCGGGCTGGGACGGGGGTCAAGGGCAGTGATTACTTGGGTAGAGGTGTTTAAAAACAGTTCTGAAGCCAGACAGAGGTAGTGCTTGTGCAGCCTTGCAAATGCCCTAAATGCCACTGAGTTGTACACTTTAAAATGGTTAATTGGTTGTCACATGAATTTCACTTCGATAAAAATGTATATATATAATAAAAGTATAGTACAAGTAAAGGGTGCTTTTTCATGTTAAAAGATAAAATATTAAATAGTTCAGGTTTATCTCATTCTTCTTTGTTTTTCATATATGCTATTTTATGTATATTGGGTATGTGTTCAACATTTTGGGCGATAGAGAAATATAATTTAAAAATTAGGTTATACTGGTTTAGTTCCAGGGTAAAAATCTAGAACATGGAGCATGACTCTGACCCACAGAAAAACTTAGTATACCTTGGCTGAATAATATTTTCAAACTTATTTTCAATGCCTTTATGCAAGGTACGCATTTTCCAGTTCAACGTAATTCCTTCATTCCCCAGAATTTTATATCTTTTGTGATCCAAACATTACTGTTTCATACCCAGCAATGATCAAATTTAAATTTTCAACTCCTCTGCTAGGGTTTACATGTATCTAAGACCGTTTTACAACAGCCCTTCTTCTGTTCATTAGCATTAGAGATGAAGAGAAAACATGCTAGACTTACCCACACAAGGCAGGGAGTAGCCCAGTTGAGGGTCGTGAACAAACTGCCGATCGTTGAGTCTTGTCACACAGTATAAGTGGAAACAGTCTAAGCAAATCACGTGGCGGGAGTTGCACTGGAAAACCAGGACGGGGCTCCTGCAGAGAGAAAGGAAGATGTTTCCTCTAGTACCTGCCAGTGTGGAAAGGCGGCACGTGCTTTAGAACAATTTCTGTAATCCTATAGGGTTGCGTAGAGTGCGCTCTGTGCAAAGACTGGAGCTGCTAAGCACTGAGCTCATATATACCGGCACTATATTTTAAAAATTGGAAGCGCTCAATGAACTACTTAGAACACTGATTCTCCTAATTTTATATATTTTTATGTTAACACATTTTTCAACGTTTTTATTAAACCTGAGCTAAAACATAATCTCTTTCTGGAAGTCTTCCCTGACTCAGAATTTCCAAATAACCTATCAAATCCACCTGTATAGATTTCTTTCTTTTTTTTTTTTTTTTTTGTTTTGTCTTTTTGTTTTTTTTCTTTTTGTGGAGAACAGGGTCTCACTATATTGCCCAGGCAGGTCTCAAACTCCTGGGCTCAAGCTATCCTCCCGCCTCTGCCTCCCTAAGAGCTGGGATTACAGGCGTGAGCCACAGCGCCCGGCATATAGATTTCTATTGATCTGTGATTACATCATAGTATTGATATCTTCTCCTCTCTTATAGACTGTGATCTCCTTGAAAGTAGATCCTATGTTTCTATTGATGTTCTAGGTATTCATCGTACTAGGCATTGTAAAGTTTTAAATGAATGTCTTAAAAACTTAGATCTTTAAAAATTTTTAAAGATTTTTTTCTACAAGGTATTTTGAGGAAATCCCAAAATTTAGGACTTGTATAGAGCGATTTATTAGTACTCTCATAACCATAATTTGAGAAAATTCAACAGTGGGATAACAGATTTTCAAAATTCTGTATCCCACTTATTTTAAAGCAATGTATAATACAAAATAAAATAAAGTTGCCTGATAATTTAATTATAATTATAGTATAATAATGGAATCTGAATTTTCCCACAATCAAAAGAAAAATTACTATTGCATCAAACTAAAAATGTTAAACATTCTCTCACATTTTACTGGCAAATATAAAAGTAGAATTTAGGAATAAAAGGTTACCCCACAGGGATTCTTCTGCTGCAAGATTTTGTCTATTGTGCAATCTTGAAACCATCCAAATACTCAGTTTCTCAAATTATGATTACAGTATTACTAATAAATCAATATATACAAGTCCTAAATTTTTTGATTCCCTTAAAATACTTTGTAAAAAAAAAATCTTAAAAACCATGTACTTTTTACTGGAAAATGAACCACACAAGTTTATGTTAAACAGGAGACAAGCAGAATATATTAATTTGAAATTGGCCCAAAGGCAATTTTAATAGAAAGTTATTGGAGTCTATTTAGATAAGCCTATTTCCCATGTAATTATAACAGAATACAAATAAGCATGTTTATTTTATACCCAGTCCTTAACAGATATAAGAGCTCTTCAAAAGCCCCATTTCCAGAAAATTAGTATTATAAAAGATAATTTCTTAACACCTGAAAGATTTTCAAAATTCTGTTATCCCACTTATTTCAAAGCAATATGTAATATAAAACAAAGAAAATAAAATTCCTTGGTATTTTAATGCCGTGGATCTGTAAGTCATCAGTCAGCTTAATCTGAGCAAGAGTGCACCTGAATGTGATTAGGTATGCCTTTTCCTTTCCCCTCTCGGGACCGATTCAAGTCCTTCCCGGGTCTTCATTCCTATTTCCTGAATCTTAGTTAAGTAGGCACTATCTGTCCTTGGAACTTGCAACTTTTCCCTTTCTAACAAAGTTGCCCTTAAAGATAATAAAACATAATGCTTTCCTATTTCTTTCCAAAGAGTCATTCACACACACATGCTCAAGTACACACATACTTTTTTCGCTTTGTGACCCTATAAAGTTGCTGTATTTTACCTTTTTCTCTCACAGCTATTACGGGAAAAATATTCTCCATCTTGCTTTCAGCAACATGGTAGACTAAAACCTTTACAGACCTCCCAATCTGCTACTAATGCAGAGAGAAAATATTAGGACATTTATGAAAATGTGCCTGTATATAACAGAGTTAAAAAGAAAGCTTAGAAATGATCCTGTAGAGGAGATATAAAGAAAACTTATAGAGCCTAAATGGTCAGCCTACGAACTCCTGCCACAGTGGCCCACAAAGTCATGGGGTACACAGGATACGGGCATCGGTGTAGCTTCTGCATTCTTTGCCATTCTTGCTAGAAAGAGTTCCCTCTCACATGGGTGGACAAAAGCATATTTCTATGGTTTTCCCTTCCACTTTACTATAATCCAGCATGATTTAGACCACACATGGAACATCAAATGTCCTACTCTATTAATGACATCCTGCTATTTGGAAAAGATTAACAAAAAACAAGTACTACATTGGTGGCCATGGCGTGAAAGCAACCCTGTGTAGCTACAGGAGCCATTACATTCGGGAAAGTTTAGAGGCCCAAGCCTTGGGGCTTAGACTTGGATACCTTCCGAAACGTGTCCACCTTCCAAAATAAATAGTCCATCTTACCCATCATACAACTGGGAATGAAGCACAGAGAACTGCAGACGCAGTGGGTCCAGAGCTCTAGTTCTCACAGAGTGAAGTGCACCTTCCTAGGGACACAAGAGGAGTCCTACTGAAAACTAAGCTACAGCTGTAACAGGCCACCTCAATCTCCTTGAACTAAGAATGTCTACGGCATGGTTGACATTGGAAGTGAAGACAGAGAGTCATGAGATTCCCTTGAAGAAACACTGCCCAGACACAGGTGTGGAATGCAACCTGGGAAGTGGGAATGTCATGTGTGTTTTTGCATGTCCTCTTCAGAAAAGAAAGACATTTACAAGTTACAGGGAGTCAAAAATGATAGATGAGTCATTCAGGAATTCTTTTTTTTTTTTTTTTTTTTTTTTTTTCTGAGATGGAGTCTCACTCTGTTGCCCAGGCTGGAGTGCAATGGTACGATCTTGGCTCACTGCAACCTCTGCCTCCTAGGTTCAAGAGATTCTCTGCCTCAGCTTCCCAGGTAGCTGGGATTACAGGCACCTGCCATGATGCCCAACTGATTTTCTGTATTTTTAGTAGACATGGGTTTCACCATCTTGGCCAGGCTGGTCTTGAACTCCTGGCCTCATGATCCACCCTGCCTCGGCCTCCCAAAGTGCTGACATTACAGGCGTGAGCCACCGCGCCCAACCAGGAATTCTTATTGTCTATTACTATCTACACACAGTCAACTTGGATATATACCTGCATACAGATATAAATAAATGGTAGATACATACATCAACGGATGAACGTATGTGCTGAGATATACAGATGAAGATATAGACATATATGCTATTTTATACACACACACACACACATACACACACAGATAATGTCATAAAGGTAGTATATATGTGCATTTCACATAGAATTATCAGTCAGCTGGAATTTTTGATACAGTTATGAGCTAAGATTGTTCATCTCTTATTAAGATATTCCTTGTAGTTTTGGGAAGCTAGGAGAGGAGTAAACATGACACCAATATAGAGGTTATTAATCACCTGAGAAAAGGAGTAAAAAATCATTTCATGGCTAGAAGGCCTACATCATTAACTTCGTAAGTGCTCAATCAACGATGCGGGGAAAGCTAGTGCTTATGGGCACCTACTTTGGGTTAGGTGGCTTGCTAGGAACCTCACAGACTTTCTTTCACTTATCCTCCTAAAGTAAACTGCCCTTCCTGTTCGTCCACCCTGTTCTCTCTGCACCTCCGTCCCCTCCAGCCGGGAAGGTCCTTGCGTAGCCTAGGATTCTGCTAGTTCCTGTGCACCCAGGTGCGTGCTCTTTGCCATCTGTTCCCATGGTAATTAATACTCACCTACAGATTCAAATCCAAATCCCAAATTTCTAGATCCAGTTCAAGACTAACGATCTCCAAGGAACTTGCTCTGGAGCCTAACACTTCACTGCTTTTTCTCTTTTTATCTTTCTTCAGTACTTATTCAAAGAGTTCATCCTTAACATACTTCAATACTGGCCTGACTTTTGTTTAAAGTGTTTCATATACTCCCACCTTGGTTATCAACATTAAATGAAAAGTCATGAAATGGTAGAGACTCTACTTGCTTAACCCTTTCATGACCCATGCCTCAACAAATACAGTGTTGAGCACATGATAGTTTTGTAATCAAGTTATTGATTATTCTAGTGGATAGATGAATGGGTCACTATTTTTGTAGCTTTTCACACTTAAAATTTCTCTGCTCTCATTCTCACATTGTTCACTAAATTTTTTATTGGGCATCTACTTTGGCTAAAGTAGGCACTTAGTAAATACATGTGGACTACAGCATCCAGTGAATGGATAAATACTTTATAGTTATACTTGGTTTATACAATCACAGGGTGTAGTTGAAAGACAGAAGATTCCCATGGAACAAGTATTACAGGAAGTATCTGTAGTCCCCAAATTCTGGGAGCTCGGAAGTTGGGAAAAGAGAGTTATTGAGTCAGGATGGATCCATTAGGGAACATGAACTGAATTTAAAGGAATGGGAGGTCACTGGAAAAAAAAACAAAACAAAACATTGTTTCTAAGCAGGAAGGAATCACAGACATGCAGAAGTATGCTTGCAGCAGAAGAGCAACCAGGTGGGCTGATGGAAAAGATGTATCAGGAAAAGGGTGGGGGACAAGATGAAAGGGGTTGAGGACAGACAGCAGATTCTGGCCAGGGATCAGGGTTGACTCTAGGAGATGCATCTGGCATAAGGCCTCCAGACTGTGGGATTCACTGAAGGTTTCTGCTATGGTCTGAATGTTTGTGTCCCCTCAAAATTCCTATGTTACAAACCTTATCTCCAAAGTGATGGCATTAGAACAGGGGGCCTTTAGGAAGTGAATGGTATGAGAGAAGGGCCCTCATGAATGGCATTAGTGCCCTTTTAAAGAGACCCCAGAAAGCTCCCACACACGTCTGCCATGTGAGGACAGAGTGAGAAGGCACCGTCCATGAGCCAGGAAGTGGGGCTCTCACCAGACACTGGGTCTGCCAC